CGCCTGGACCCGAAACCAACCGCTCACCACAATTCCCGTCGCTCGCAGGAGTGTCACAGCAACAATCGGACCACGCCCCCCCTACCGGCTTCCACCACTTTTATCCACGCCGATCCTAATTAATTGCGTGCGCGGCTGTTTCTCCCCGATTAAAACTTCGCTGCGGAACACCCACAATTATCTACTAAACAGCCTCTCGTGCATGCAGCCCGATACGGGGTCCGTGGGTGACGTCATCCCTAACAATCACCGGTTACATAAAGTAGGCTAACAATAAACAAACAATAAGAAATTATTTTTTCCAATTTGTTTCATTTTCACAGTAAAAACTGATTGAGGCCTGGCTCGTTTTTCGATAATCTGTAAATCCTATGACAGCAAACATACATCAATTTCAGCTTAATAATAAATCTGAAAACAGATGAATTTACAAACTGTTTTAGCGGTCTCACCATTTTTATAACCCTTGCCATTACAGTGCGCGTCGACTTGCGTTCGCATTTTGAACCGGGACCACCGGCCTGTAAAGGCTATACACACAGTACTCTGCAGCAAATTATAATGTAAATAGCCTATAAAATCACGACACTTGATAATAAAAAGCAATACACCCGCAAACGTTCTACTATATCCACTGTCAGGCGTCTCTCGATTAGTTTTTTTTCTCGATTTTAGTTATATTTACTTTGGACATGAATGCGAACTGACCGGATGTAAGATTGTCATATTCTTTGCCTTTATTTTTAAACTTGAAAACTGCTCACAAAGAACCAAGAGTGGAACTGCATCCGGAATCCTGGAGGTGTGAAACATCAGTGCAGCAATAGAGACATCGTGCTTTTCTGTTTTATAGAAAGCTTTATATACATAATGCGTATAGCTAGCATACTAGTCTAGCTGATATATTGTATACAGTAAGTATAAACCGACTTCGGAATTTTTAAGGTGTAACTCATATAATGTAGGCCTATTGTCACTCACCATTTCCACAGGATATTATACCCTTATTTTTTTATCTTAAAGGTAAATTAAAGTTTAATATGCTGATATTAAAAACTCTATTAGTCAGAGTACATTTACAGTTTAAGTTAAACAAAATGATAAACTGTTGACTAACCTGCATTAATAGGTCTTGGACTCCAACTAAAATGGTATCAGAACAGTACGTGCTTTATGTAACGAAATACTTTCACTTTTATACTTTCGTTTTGACAGTGCTGGAAACGGAAGTGTATAGGTGCGGTTCGTATAGCTGCCAGTATGAAGTAATAACATTTGTCCTGTTTCACGTTATAACGAGATACATATATCTCAGCCAAATTCATAATGACTCATTAAAACGCTTTGATCAAGTTTTACTCAATGCTGAGGATGTAACATACGCCACAAACGACTCGACACACCGTTGGGAGATTGCCAAGAGCACGCCTTTTACTTACTGCTCACACGAGCCTTTTTGCATTACAGTACGGATGCCTAACTGGGACAACACACCAAACCACTAAACACTGTAGTCACTAGATGGCAGTATATTACAGAGGAAACGTCCCCCCCCAGTACTAAAACGTAACATTTACTTTCATTTAAAACTTCTGGTAACTAATCATTTAATTTTCTGATTGATGCCACACCCCCTTTGTACATTTGTACTGACCCCCTCATAAAGTACGTTTTTAAATTCGTTTGGGGACAATTATAAGTGTCATCTGGACTGTGTAGGGTAACAGTATTTTAACCAAATTTGAAAGGGACCCAGACATTTTACAAAGATCGAGCAAATGATGCATTTTTTTTCCTCCGTGAAAACAAGAACAGTGTTACTGTACATCTGATAATAATTATAGTGCAACAAGAGGTATATTTTCAAAATAAGTAAAATGATGTATGCTGCAGTGCCGTATCTACCATTGAGGACACCGAGGTCATGTCCTCGGTATTTTTTCCCGAAATTTCTAATTAGTCAAAGCTGAAATCCAGCAGTGATGATCAATGCCAAACACAGAACCTGGTCCGTGTCCGAATCCAAATGTCGTCTGTATTTTCTCCCAATTAAATTCACATTCTCCGTCTAATCTCAAGTGAAATCTCCGCCTCTATCTGTCTTTGCAGGCAGCGGCACTTGACGTCACGTTACGCTACAGATTCAGAGAGT